TATGGGTCCGAAGTTGTCATTCCTACCGAGTCCATAATCCCAACCCTTCGGACATCCTTGGTGCTGGAGGGGAACAATGAGCAACAACTCGAACATAGCCTTGATTTGGTGGACGAAAGGAGAGATGCAGCAGCAATTCGACTCGCGGCCTACCAACAACAGGTGTGTAACAGTTATAACAAACGCGTCAGGATCAGGAGTTTTGTGGTAGGCGATTGGGTGTTGAAGCAGGAGACAGCTCATGTAAAGAAACTGGAACCTCATTGGACCGGACCCTACAGAGTTACCGAAGTAGTGGGGAAAGGAGCATATCGTTTGGCCGAAGCTGGCGGACGCCCCATTGCGCGTCCTTGGAACGCAATACACCTGAAAAGGTATTTCCATTAGTTAAGTTTGTCAATTTTGCTATAAGTTCTTCACAAATAAGGCTGAATATGTCCGCAGTTAGCCAAACTTTTCTTTATTTTGCTTCTCTATTCAATATCACTCTCCTCTGTTTTTTCTTTTTATAAAAATGGGGAGTCATACGAACTCTATGATTACGCAATTTTTATGCGCATGCCAAGTCGCACAAAACAATGATTTTTACAAAACAAAAACAAAAACGAACAAAACACAAGCACAAAAACCAACAAGCACACAAGACACAAAACACATGAATTATGGCCTGTGCTTAAAACTTTCTATCCCACATCGATAAAACAGTATGTGCTACATTCTGTTATATATGGGAATATTCAAATAGTTAATTACGGTGTAAGGAGGGCCCACTGGTATTTAAAGCTGTCAAGCTCAATACCAGAGGCATTCCTTACACCGACTTTTTTGACAAAATTTAGTCTATGTCCCACATCGGATAGAAATAGAGAATAAATGCGGTTCATATATGCGCGGTCCACAACATTTGGCTGCCAAGAAGGGAGTATCAGTGGAGGCAGGTCTCTAAAGTCGACAAATGGAGAACTTCACAGCCACTGTTACTCGCTTTCTTGGCCTCCTATCATTTTTGAGTCTTCAGCCTCATAATAAGTGATTTGAGGAAAAATATGAAATAAACCTCCCCTCAGGCTCAGCGCCGGGGAGTAATTCATTCGCCTCGGACCTCAAGTGTCTGGTTCGGCACAACCTCCCCTCAGGCTCAACGCCGGGGAGTAGTTCTCTCGCCTCGGACCCTAAGTGTCCGGCTCGGCAAAACCTCCCCTCTGGCTCAGCGCCGGGGAGTGATTCATTTAAACCTCCCCTCGGGCTCAGCGCCGAAGAATAGGTCATTCGCTTCGGACCCTAAGTGTTCGGCTCGGCGAAAATCTCGCCTCGGACCCTAAGTGTCCGGCTCGGCAAAACCTCCCCTCTGGCTCAGCGCCGGGGAGTGATTCATTTAAACCCCCCCTCGGGCTCAGCGCCGGAGAATAGGTCATTCGCCTCGGACCCTAAGTGTTCGGCTCGGCGAAAATCTCGCCTCGGACCCTACGTGTTCGGTTCGGCAAAACCCCCCTCCGGCTCCACACCAGGGAATGTATAATTCGCCTCGGATCCTGAGTATCCGAGGCAACTTCGGACCCTAAGTGTCCTATTCAGATCAGAACTCTTCCCCCCGGACTCCAAGTGTTTAATACCTTGTGTATGCGGATATGTCATAAGTTCATTATATTCCACCCCACATCAGGAACACATGAGAAGGAAAGAGTATGTATACTGAAGGCAAGTAGAAGGCGAGGAAGGTTCATTTACCAGTTAAATCATTGTCCATACGACTCATCCTGCGATATCAACTAAACTGTTAAAAGGATCTCCTTCTTCCCACAATCCTTGCATTTTCACGGATAGCATAAATCCGAAGTATAAAGATAATGTTTAGTGTTTAAACACATTACCAGTCAGAGAAATATATCAAGAGCATACAGCAAAAACAAGTCAGGCAAGCCTAAAACGAAAAGTTATATTCATTATCCCAAAACAGGCTGTTCATAAAAACAAAATACATAGTTCTACTTCCTCTTCGGATCGAAGGGAGTAGATTCAAAAGCATCCACTACATTAGGACTTGAGGTAGCCGCAGGAGCAGGGGAGCTAGGAGTACCCTTCAGGTGTGCCTTCACCATCTCGGCAAAGCGAATTTCAGCTTCTAAAGCCTCTGGCCCTTCATCATATGGGAAGTGCACCCCCACCTGCTTGTCAAAGGCGTCCGGATCCATCGTCTTAGGGCCTGAGCCCTGATTATAGCCAGACCGGAACGCCTTAGCACTAGCCAGGTGCGCCAGACAGGAGTAGCGCCCCTGCATTTGCTTCCCCGCCTTGAAGCAAGTAGTAAGAGCCTCGGTCAGGCGTTGAACCTCGGCCTGAAGAGAATCCACCTTAGCCTCAGAGGCTGACAACTGCCTCTTATACGCATCCTTGGCTTCAGAAGCTATCTTCAGATTGGTAGAGGCAGTAGTGGCTCTCTTTTCTGCATTGTCAAGATCCTTTTCCAACTTCTTGATGGAGAGGGATTGAGCTTCAGCAGTGGCGCAGAGGGCCATGGTGTGGTATAGACTCTGTTTAACAGGGAAGCGAATATAAGCATAAATAGAAACACAAGCAAGCAAGAGTAGCATAATTCTGAAGGTGCAATGCGAACCTCTATGGCCCGGACTGGGGCAGAGGGGAGTAGTTGCTCCAGCCCCATTTGGCTGATGGCTTCCTCGTCCTTTGGGAGCCACATTCCTCGAGCCACCGCCAGTGCAGCTGAAGGGTCTGTAACCACAGAATCCCCTGAGTGTAGGACTGACCTGTCAGCCCTGGTGAAGGAAGGAGTCCAAGGAGCTCCAGTCTCAGCAAGAACAAAGGCCCTGACTTCATCTTCAGGTTCAGCCTCCCCAGCTTTTTTCCCTCTGCTTTTAGAGGGGACTTTGCCCTTGCCAGAGGAAGAGGGGTTGAGGCGAGATTTCTTCAATGGTGGTTCCTCAACCTCCACCTCATCCTCAGTTGATCCAATGACGACCAAGGGTTGGGCATCTCCGGCTTTCTTTTTCAAAGCCTCAGCCCGCCGTATCTCCTCCTCGGTCATAGGGAAACTGTCAAAGGATGGTAAAGCCAGGTCCATGAGGTCTGCAGCAACGGCACTGGAAGCAATGTCCTTGAGGTTGGAGGAAGTTAGCAAGTCCTCGATTGGCGAGGGGTTACTCCAGACTCGTTCCTCAAGAAAAGAAAGTCTGTTCCTTGCTGCGGAGGCCGGGAATGTAGCTGAAAAAACACCAAGAAATTCATAAATACGGCGAAATATTAAGACTTGGCAAGGAAAACAGCCAGAACACTTGGTATGAAGGGAGGTTAAATATTCTATACCTAATTTCCCGAATTTGCGCGGAATGGGAAGCGCAATTGATTGGGACACGAACCATTTCCCTTTAACTACAACCATCCTTTCTTTCCATTTCTTTTCGGATGAAGGAAGGTTCGTGCATATCCTTTGATGAAGGGGAGAGGTAAAAAAAAAGCGACCAGGCTCGGTCCCATGCTTAGATATATTGTAAGTAAGCAGAAGGTCGGCAAGGGTTAAATCCAGAGCCTCTAATTTCCGGCGCACCAACAACGCCGAAAGGATGCGAAAGAAATTGGGATTTACTTGAAGGGGGGCAAGACCTAGCTTATTGAAAACTAAATGATAGAAGGGATGAAGAGGGAATCGGAGGGCGTTAAGGTGCCCTACAGAAAAAAGCAACTCATCCTCCTCAATTCCCTCGCCGGAGGTGAAATCGGCACCCTCGGGATATTCTGCAATGTCTACTCCTTCAGGAACATCAAATTCTTCCATTACCGAAGCAATAGAGAATTTGATGCGGCGAATAGAGATGATTGCTTTCTTCTCTTCATGGGTAAGAACGTAATCAGAGCCTGAGGTGGATGTTTCGGTTGGAAGAGGGGAAGTACCTGATGGATTCAACGAAGGGCGATCTGTAGAAACCCTAGGAGGGGGAGCCCTAATGCGAATGGGGGAAGATGAAGGTGTGGATTTAGAATCCCCAAGGTCTACACGTTCGGGAGTAGATGAAGTACTCATAATGAAAGATTGAAGAGAAAGATGCGAGACTAACTTGACAAAGCGAAGGAAGCGATGAAATGAAGGACGCAGAAGTGCAGCAAGGGCAAATGTAACTCTTGCAAAGTCTTGTGCGACGGAAGTAATAACGAAAGGCCACGAACCGTTTCTGAAGCAAAGTGAAAACCGGTTTCAATTCCCTCTTTAATAGGAGCCGTCACTCAATTAAAAATGGAATTTGGGGCAAAGTGTGGAGGGAAAAAAAACTCCCTCCAATAAAAAACGCACACGTCACCACTACCCATATCTATAGGCCAAGGACATATAAGGCCCATCATGCTCAAAGTTGAGGGTATTTACAGCCTAAGACCATTCCATCAAGGCCGAATCAAGAAGCCATCAGCCCAGCTTGTCGTCAGCCCAGATATGAGTATTTAACATCCGGCCTGTTACCCAAGCCCAGCCGGATCAAAATATATTCAGCCCAAGAATGCACAAATCCTACCATTTGAAGAATTTACCGTAGAAGGAAAATTCGGATAGGAAGTTCTGTACAAGGCAAGTTCTATGTATGGAAAATTCAACAATGGAAAGAACTCTATTAGAAAAGAATGGTTATATAGAAAGAATTGGAGGGCAAGCAACGCGAGTCCTACCATAATTTTGCAATCTTTTGTATATAAATAGAGGCTAAGACCTCCAATAAAGAATCAAGCAATTCCACACTTCTCTACACATTGTTCTTATTTATTTTTATTGTTTTTGAGTGAGTTGTTTTATTTTTCTCAGTCATTATTGGTTGAGCGAAATTTTGCACCTACAGATAGTGAATGCAATTTAACCAAAACAGAATGAGACTCAGAAACATGATTCTTGTTTCTAGGTATTGGAACATAAACACGTGGCAATGCCAAATGTGCCATAAGTCGTTGACTATTTTTTCTGCATATGTGATTACTAACTAAAAAATATTCCTTTGTCGCAGAATACAGAAACTGATAAACCTTCAGAAGACATACTTACAGTCATTGAAGCCCCACGTCAGTCAGACTTGATGATAGATCTGATAAAAAAGCTAAAGCCACAGGTGGTGGTTACAGGGATGGCTCATTTTGAGGCGATTACAAGTTCTGCTTTTCAACACCTTTTAGATACTACAAGAGAAATTGGATCTCGACTGTTTTTAGACATATCAGACCACTTTGAGCTATCCAGCCTCCCTGGTTCCAATGGGGTCTTGAAATATCTTGCAGGAAATCCTCTGCCGTCACACGCAGCAGTTATATGTGGCTTATTAAAAAATCAGGTATGTTTTTTTTTTTTTTTTTTTTTCTTATTATGATCAATCAAGGTAGCTTGGTCTTGACAGGTGATGGGTTTAGGCCCATGAAGCATGGCACAGACATTGGCATGGGATACGGACACATCATACGAATACGGCCATGTGACAAATTCTTAAAAAACGGTTATAGATACTGCAAGGACGCATCAATATATATTATACTAATGTAGTTTTGTAGAAAAGTTAAAATATATATTCTATTAATAAATTTAAAATAGTAATTGTTCGTCATGTTATTGCCAACATTTCCTTATAAAAAATTATGACAGAAAACCTGGGAGTTGAGAGTTATATTGAATGCATGGATAATGTTTAGACTAAATTAGTCATGATATAAATGCCCGGACTTCTTTTTGAAGAGATTTTAAGCTTTTCTTAACAATTATACGATGATATTATACTTGAAAGAAGTTATATGACTTGTAATATGTGTCCCAAAGTATCTGAAAAGTATCGGAAACATAGCCAACGTATCTGAGAAGTACCTAATACGTGTTAGAAAAAAGAAAAAAAAATTCAAAATTTGGATACTCTTAAGAAGTATTGACACGTATCTGCATGTATCCAACAAGTGTCCGTCAACACGGACACGATACTGGTACAACCCCTTGTGTAATCAGCTAAATTCAAGAGCTCTTGAATTGATTTATGGATTCACCTCTTTATCAATTTCATTTGATCAAATTACTTCTCTAATTTTGAAGACTTAATTCTCTTCACAGGTTTATTCAGACCTTGAAGTAGCTTTTGTGATATCAGAAGAAGAGACCATTTGTAAAGCATTATCCAAGACCGTGGAACTATTAGAAGGAAATACTGCACTGATTAGTCAATACTATTATGGTTGTCTCTTCCATGAGCTTTTATCTTTCCAGCTTGCTGATCGACGTCCTCCCACAGAGGTTAATCAGCCTCACTTCAATTTTTCAGATATTTATCTAGTATTCTTTTGAATATCTTATAGTTGTATGAATATGCCACGTTGATTGTTTGACTCTTTCCTTTGGACTGTATGAAATGCTAATCGGGTTACTGGGGTCACTGGACAAATTTGGTGTGATATTTATCAAAAATAAAAAGGGAAAGAAATTTGAAAATGCAAATTTTTTTTTTCTGAAGTTACATTGATGTTCCATTGCCATTGAAGGGTTCCCAAGTTCTTTCACATCATTTTTAAAAAAGAATGTAGTCGTCAAATTATGGTGACCAATTTCCTGACCATCAAGTGTGAAAATTGAAAAAAGGCTTTGTATCTGTACAATGTTTCATAAACGGGATAGTTTTTTACCTAATATTTTGCAACACCTTTAAGAAACATGAAAACAGAAAACACTATCATTAACTGCAACAATTGCCTGCAAAAAGGTTCAGTTTTTTTTTTATTTTAGCAAAAAGGTTCAGTTTGTAATGTAAATGAAGACATCTTTGATTTTATATGGGCACCTTAAATTAGTAGAAATATCATTTTGCAGGTTGTTGCTTGTTGATTATTTACAGCAGCTCCTTGAAACCTATGTAATTTTTTTTTTTTTTTTTAAACTTCTAAAGCAAGTATATTTTTCAAATTGACGCTTCAATATTTGCCTATCAGAGAGAAGGTGAAAAGGTGAAAGCTGGTGAGATGATTGGATTCTCTAGTTCTGCCATCTCGGTCCTTAATCATGCTGAGTTGTCAATTACTGAGGCAGATTCCTCTTCCCTAATTCACATGGATGTGGATCAAAGCTTTTTGCCTATCCCATCTCCCGTTAAGGCTGCTATTTTTGAAAGTTTTGCAAGACAGAACATGTTGGAGTCAGAAATTGATGTGACAACAAGCATTGGACAATTTATCAAGAGCAACTATGGTTTTCCAACAGATAGCAACAATGAATTTTTATATGCAGATTCCTCACTAGCTCTTTTCAATAAATTAGTCCTCTGCTGCATACAAGAAGGTGGAACTTTGTGCTTCCCAGCAGGCTCAAATGGGAATTATGTATCTGCTGCCAAATTTCTGAAGGCAAACATTGTCAATATCCCTACCCACTCTGAAGAAGGGTTTAAGTTGACAGAAAAGATTCTTGCAGGTTTATTTGAGAAATTGAATAAACCGTGGCTGTACATTTCCGGTCCAACAATCAACCCTACTGGCTTGCTTTACAGCAACAAAGAGATGGAAAATATATTATCTATTTGTGCCAAGTATGGGGCAAGAGTTGTAATTGATACTTCATTCTCTGGATTGGAGTTTAACTCTAAGGGCTGGGATGGTTGGAATTTGGAAGGCTGTTTAACAAATCTGAATAGGTCTGGCAAGCCACCCTTCTCTGTTTCTCTGCTTGGAGGACTGTCTTTGAAGATGCTTACTGGAGGGCTGACCTTTGGGTTTCTGATTCTAAACCAACCTTTCTTGGTTGATGCATTCCATAGCTTTTCAGGGTTAAGCAAACCTCACAGCACTGTTAAATACACCGTAAAGAAGCTGCTGGATCTGACAGAACAGAAAGCGGGACACTTATTGGATGCCATTGCAGAACAGGAAAAGGTTTTGGGAATTAGATCTAAGCACTTGAAGGAGGTAAGTATTAAATCTAAAAATGGTTTTCCATTCGTAGAACATAATTATCTTTTTGGTTTTTTTGGTAGTTTTATTTTTCTCAAACCAGATATGACAAATATGGTTGGATATTGTTGTGATTGGCTAAGCTATCTCAGCAATGGCATGAACTTTTTGAAAAATAAGCAACTAATCTGCAACAACCGACTCTCAGTTGCATTAACATGACAACATCTAATGATCCTTTGGATTTTAGTTGAAGATGTATTGTGATTTACTGGACCATTATTCTGCTTTTCTTTCTTCTTTCTTTTTCCGAATAAATTATTAATTTTACTGAAATAGGAGAAAGAAGTACAAAGAAGGAATACCTAAATGGTTTGAAAAAAATTGCTTCTGGGGTGCTAAAAGATACTAAGCCCTCTTTTGCCAGGGAATTTGTCTCAGAACTAGCCAACCTAAAACCCAAGTGAACTCTGCCTTTTATTTTATGGCTTCTGACAGAATACAAATCTTATGCTCAGTTGCCTTATACCCAAGGGAGAAAATAAAATGTCTTTAACCTATCTATGAGCACACACCGGTCAGCCTTGACAATATTGCCACTGAGCCACATAGAATAAGTTTCTGATAAGAAGTGATAACCCTTCATGAAGAGCTTGTATTTTTGCTTCGATAGTGTACCCACTATCAGCTGATAGCCTGGATAGAATAGGAATGGATGAATATTACCTATGTGGTTTCTGATAACCTATTTACGATACCATGTTGACCCAACTAACCTAGCTTGCATCGAGAACCCCATAAAAAATTAGTTTCAGTTCCTCCTCCGGTCTCTGGTGGCTTCCAGTAGAACAGGCACTAAATGAAACTATTGTCACACCTGGATGAATCCAAATATACCTTCATAATTTCTGATTCCTAAAATATAAAATCTATTAGGATGATAAAAAGAGGACTTTATCCCATAAGACTTCTAAATCAGCTCTTTTACCATGAAATATCTAGCAGTGTTATAGAGCCAAAAGGACATCTGTCGTGGCACAATACCATAACAATTTGTTTCTTCCCTTTCCATAGCCAACAAATGCAATTTGTAGAAAGTGGTGCTGCAAGTACCCAGCTGACATAGTCCTGTCGAGGAAACAACCTTTCTCTCGACAATAAGAAAAAGACTAAAAAAGTAAGCGAACACATGTTGCATGTATGGTCATAAAGAAGCGAGAAACATGCTGAATTGGAGATAGTAAAAGTAAAATGCCCATCAAAACATTAAGGTAGTTAATTCAAGTGCATATATGTTGGTATTGGAACTCAAAATTCTGCACTGAGTTATCGGGCCCCTTGGTGTGTGCATTGTAATTTTCTTGGAGTGGTTTCTTATTTGTGATTTTTCCATGACATGCATTTTGCTGCTCAATTGCAACAGACGCTAGAGAATTGTGGATGGGAGGTACTTGAAGCTCGTGCTGGTGTTTCCATGGTGGCAAAGCCATCTGCCTATCTCGGCAAGAGCATTAAGCTCAAGGAAGATGCGAACACTTTTGAAACCAAGCTGGATGATTCAAATATCAGGGAAGCCATCCACAGGGCCACTGGGCTATGCATCAACAGCGCTTCCTGGACTGGAATTCCTGGCTTTTGCCGCTTCACAATTGCATTGGAAGATAGTGAATTTGAGCGTGCATTGGCTTGCATAGTCAAATTCAAAAGCATCATCAGCAACTGAATTGTTTTTGTTGTTGCCATCTCCTCTCTGATTGGTTGCTTCCGCAACTTAATGTTCCATGAAATAAACTTCCTCCCATGGTTTGCCATAACTCATGTCAAGCTCTCTCCACAAGTCAGTGTTGATTCAGGTTTTTCTCCTATCCATGTAAGTGTATACAAGATTACAAATGTCATCTTTGTCTCTTGATTATAGTTTTGAGAAACTTCATACAATGTCCCACAGATCACACCTTCTGTTTTTATATAATGATGAAAACTTTTTTTATTTTTATTTTTTCCATATGATTCTGCTGATTAGTTTCTTCATTTATTTTCAGTTGAACATGGTTAAGAATATGTCATATTTACTCTGAATAGCTGCCAAATTACACAGAAATAAAGTTCCAACTTCTTTTTTGGAAGCAAGTGTTATGTGAATTAGTTGAAGTAAACATCAGAATATATAATGAGAGAAAATAAACTAACATAGGCTTGTTCATGTAAAAAATATGATAGTAGTATTGTATTAGAGATATATTTTTTCAGAAAATTACAAAAGAATATGTTATAAAATAAATTATGTTTTAATTCATTTTTGAGTATTTTTTTTTCACTTTCATAATATAAGAATAAATGATTAATGTTTTCCATTCTTAGTCATGGCACGAATGGATATACAATTTTAACTGATTTAATGTGAATGGGAGTTGACGTGGGTTCTATATTGATACGAGTCTCTATTTATATTAAAATAGGTTTTTAGGTTCTCAACCAAGACAGTGTACGTCTTTATTGATAAGTATTATCTTATTTACTAAAGAACCAAATGGTCCAACGGTATCACCCCTTTCTTTCCAAACGAGAGGTTTTTTTTGGGATTTAAACCTAATATCGGTGGAAGTGTAGAGTGTGTGCGTAATTGTTTTAATTAAAAAAAGAAAAAGAAGAAAAAAAAAAAGTATTATCTTATTTTATTATTTATCGAATTTTACCAGTTAGGTGAAATTTGATGACATGTCATCATCTCATTACTCAATTGATCATAAGCCACGTCAATTCAATCATTCATAAATTTAGATCCGTAATTAATGAGTTCAACCCCATTCTTTCTCGTGAACATTCTAGCATCGTGTACCATCTGTTGCATGTGAATTTACAAATCCAGTAATCCACTACAAACCTCTAGAAACTACTTTATATATCTATATCTATATATATATATATATAAAAGAAGTATCCAGAAACACCCACACCCTTCAAGTTTTCTCCTATATAAAGCCCAACCCATTTCTCTCATCTCATCAACGCAACAACAAAACACGTCAAAAACAACATATCAATTCTTCTCTGATCTGCAAGCCTATTAGTCACAAAACTCCATTTCTATACTCATGGCTGGTTCAAAGCTCACCATGTGTGTCCTAACTGTAGCAATGGTCACACTACTCATGCCCTTCACAGCCAATGCACTAATTCCCTACACTCGAACCCTCTGGGACATGATGCTTCCAGCCGACGACCCTTTCCGAATCCTGGAACAAGCCCCATTAACAGTGCCCAAAGGCGTCGAAACTCTCGCACTCGCTCGTGCCGACTGGAAGGAGACTTCAACGGCCCATGTGATCTCACTTGACGTGCCGGGCCTCAGGAGAGAGGACATCAAGATTGAGGTGGAAGAGAACAGGGTGTTGAGGATCAGCGGGGAGAGGAAGGCGGAGGAGGAGGTGGAGGGTGAGAAGTGGCACCGGGCGGAGAGGACGGCCGGGAAGTTCTGGCGGCAGTTCCGGTTGCCGGGAAATGCGGATTTGGAGGGAATCAAGGCGCGACTTGAGAATGGGGCGCTGAGGATCACTGTGCCTAAGTTGGCTGAGGAGAAGAAGAGGCAGCCTAAGGTGATTGGTATTGTTGAGGAAGGGAGTGCTGGAGAGGATGTCAAGGCTACCAAAGCTAAAATGTAGAGTGAGAAACAAAAACAAAAAAACAAAAATGTGCTTTTGATTTTTATGGGTTTTCTTTGTTGTGTTCTTGTTAGTTCTGGGATAATTATATATGATGGATATGTATATTAATGCATGTGTGGTGGCATTGTATTTTCATAGTTTTGGGTAATAATGGCAATAAAATTGAATTGTTAAAAAAATTATCATGATTTGCATCCAACTTTTATGATGTAATAATTGCAATAAACAGAATTGTATGAATCGTGATATACAAACAGAATTGTTTGGTTTTGGGTAATAACGGCAATAAAATTGAATTGTTAGTCTATTAATTTCAGAATATGAACTCACCATGTCAAATTATCTCATGGTTAAAAGCATTATCGTGCTTCGAAATTTGGACCTGCATTTAATACGTTTAACCCTTTCGAAATTTCAAATTTATTCATTTGAAATTAAGAATATAATAAAAATAAAAAATTAGAAAAAGCCAACGAGAAATTTGGGCGCGAAGATGGCCTCTTTGGATCATTTTTTTATATTGGAGTTTTGCTCAAGTATCTTGTTCAGTTATTGATTTTTATTATGAGCTCGTTTTTTATATTAAATTAGTTCATTTATTTTTCTCTTTGAAAAAAAAAAATTCAGTATGTTAATTAAATATAAATAAAAGTGGCATAAACAAACTATATTTTATGACAAAAATAATAATGACACTAAAAAAATAGCTCCAACAAATTTTTTTTTAGTAAAATTATGTCATCCAAATCTTTTTTTACTCGGAAACAAAATAAAGTTATTTATTAATTATTAAACTTAATACAAAAATAAATAAACATTATACTTGCATTATCTTTAACATTATCAATGTACAATCATTGGTCTCATCTCACCGTCATGCGACTGAATTTTTTATTGTTTCTATCTCATTTTGAATACTGAATAATACTTTTGTCTAATTTGCTTGTTTTAATCTCTTTGCATTAGGACTTGTTGCCCTAAAGCTTACTCCTTAGTCCTTATATAGACGTCTACTCCTTAATGAACGATTAAAATACATTACTATCAACTATTAAGATTAATTCTCTAAAAACTCCTCTAGATATTATACAAAACTAACTCTAACTCTCCAATTCTTTAGAAATTTCTCTATTCTAAAAATCAATTATTGGTTCCATCACCAATTTAGAGTTTTGTTCAGATTTGAGTGTAAGTAGAGTTGATGTTCCATGAAAAATTAGTGGCTTTGATGAGATTCATGAAATATATAATGGACCATACAAGTTTTACATACAGCACAAGTTTTTCAGAGAGAGAACAATGATACAGCATAAGGAAACTTGGGCCTCACTTCAGCCCATCCAATCATAGAAAGATTCAGCGACAGTTATGCTGTAGGCCCAGTTCAAGCCTTTTATCCATATGGGCTGTTAATAATACAAGTAGGATTATGTATAGAATTTCTATAGTCCAATAAAGAAACTAAAAAAAAAAAAATTTGAAAAATATCCTTGTTCGATCTATAGAGTTTCAAAAGTAATTTATTTATCTCATTATCAAGAATTTCTTATATAACTAGAACGCTCCTCACAAATTGTGAATTCTAATTTGTTAAAAAATCTGTTGAAATTCTCGAAACGATACATTTTCGAATGGAGTCTGAATTTTCTCTTGTAGAAGTCCCTTGTAGTGTTTTTGAACGTCTTTACCTCTATTTTTAATATATTATTTTATATTATGCAACCGAAAGACGAAATAATGTGTTGAAACACAAAAACACTATAGGTATGTTCGGATTGTATAGAATTAGAGTGTTGGAATTGAAATTTGTAAAATTTTAGAAGAACAATTAAAAAAATTGAACCAAAATTTTTTCAAATGTCATTAATTCTAATTTCAAGACTTTAATTCTACGCAACCAAACACAATCCATATATAAATGCATTAATTTAAAATGTCAATATCAATGTGCTACAGTAAAGAATTTGGACTCTACTCAAACGACAATATATTTTTAGTTATAATCAACAATGATTACAAAATGAGCTAATCATATATTCGGTCAAGATATGTTTGCCACGGATCTAATGTAACAACGTTGGTAAATATTTTTTGTTTTAATCAACAATGATTACAAAATCGGTAATCATGCCGTATGTTTAATTCGGTCTAGAATCTAGATATGTTTGCCACGGATATAATGTTGTAACAACGTTGGTAAAAAGTACTAGTATTTAACAATAATAATAGGTGTAATGAGATGTTAGCCAAAGAACATATGAAACTCTGGTGAAGTTGCAGGGTAGTACGTATACCAATCCATTCAGGTTTTCACACACACACACGCAACCAAACCTGACAATACACAGATACGTACACAAAATTATAAGCATCATTCCATGTAAAACCTGTAATCACAAGTCATAACAGACGATGTCAAGTTGGCCTCAATATGTATATTTCATTATAACATTGGCTCTAAATGTGCTTTTATCTCATCCATTTATTGTTATTATTATTATTATTATTATTATTATTATTATTTTCCTTCCTGTCTCGTACACATCTTTATTCACATGGCTAGTACCTGTACATTGCCTTGGATGTCATATGTGTGTCCTTTGCAACAGAATCAGAAGAAGCAACAAATTATGCTCTCTCTCTCTCTCTCTCTCTCTCTCTCTCTCTATATATATATATATATATATATATATGTATGTATGTATGTTTATGTGTATGTATATATCCATGGAGTTTTTACATTCCAAACCTCTTTAATTCATTTATGGAATGCAGTTCACCCTCAAAAAAGTACCAAATCCCCATCTCTGCATGGTTAATGGTTAGTGTTGTGAAAGTTAACTAGAAAAAAATTATGAATGTAAGTAAGAATATACATATTTACGTAATTCAGCCAAAATTTGAGAAACAAAATTACGAATCTTAGAATTGAACCATCGCTCTCTTTATACTCTCGTGAAAACAGATCATTTTCGATGGAATCTCTTTTTAAATTCCGTAGTCTTCATTCTTCTTGTCCAACTTTAGCGCGCCACATCATTATTTTACTAAACTTTATGTTTAGAGTTTTTTTACAACTACGACTCCGTTTATTTTAACGTAAAATATTTTTCTCGTAAAATATTTCCTAAACAAAACATTTTTTTATGCAAAATATTTTTTTTTATTTTTTGGTGTTTGGCAACAATATTTTATAAATCAGTTTTCGTGCACAATTAACTCTCTTTCTTCAAGTGTTCTTCACAAATAGGGAATAATACTCACAATTAACTCTCTCACTCTTTCTTTTCAGTGTTCCAACAACAGAAAATAATACTCCCTAAACTATCCCTCGCTTTTCATTTCGTTACTCTATCTCTCCACTCTCTTTCTAAAACATGCCCTTGATCCAAATCTGTTCATCGACCAACTCAAAATTTTCCTTCTCCCTCTCCTCTCCTCTCCTCTTATGTATACAAATAGAGAAAGAAGATGAAAATTAGATTTTTAAATTGAGAGGACCGAAAGAGTTGATGGCATGGTCGAAGTTAGACCGCATATTGAACCTTATGAAATTCAAGACGCGGATAAGTTAAACAATATTTTACTTACCATGAAATCAGAACCACGTAACGAGTGTGAAAATACAATGATACCCCCTGTTATATTTTTAAGATGTACAATATTATGAGGCATCCTATCATATTTTCAAATTAACCAACCCTTTTGTTTCATCCGTAGTAAATAGTTAATTAGTTGGTAAAACGTGTTAGTGATAATGTTATATTCCTGGATTTCAGAGCTCAGTACCTTTTTTTTTTTTTTTTTTTTTTTTTTCTTTCTTAGATTTCCCGCTTCCCCATTTCAAAGAGAGAGTGAAAATAGTTGAATCATGTGCAACAAATCCCAATAACTATTACGAGTAATAAAAAAGAGTTCTTTTAATCTATTTCAGGTAACATTTTGTATGTTATTTTAAGAGTTACATTTCTGGTGAAACAAAATTAATTTCCTCAAAGTTTGTGATATAAAATGATACTAAACAAATATGATATTTGGATCAATTTCAAAGTAGGGATTTTTTTTTTTTCTTTTTTTTTTTTTTTTTTTAAGGATGTTGGAAAAACATTTAAGTTCATTAAACTTGAGTAAATCTCTTGGGATGTTCAAATTGTAGACTAATTATTCATTCAATAAATTGGTAATAAGATATTTGAGAAATGAATGGAAAGAAAAGACTAGCTAGGGTTATGTTTTTCTCCATCTTTCTCTTTCACAATGGACCATTTGGGATATACAAGCAAGCATAGAGATCGAATAAAGAGCACAGAGATGTGAAAAAAGTTGGTAAAAAAAGCAAAGGACAAAGCAATATTCTCTACTTCATTCTTAGCAAGTGACCTCATTATTGAAAGACATCAACATTTGAAGAATTCTTCTATATATGTTGCAAAATGATTTGAACAGTCTGTAACATTAGTTCCAACTTTTCACACAATGAAGGCTCCTGGTTGTAGAGTGAGTTAATGTCAAGAAGGGGAGTTCGAATCCTCTACAACACAGAATGCATGTTGTACCATATTATACTGCAGTAAAAGATTAGGATTATTTACGTGTATGGAGGTGTCACACGTGAATGATTCTGACCGTTCATATTGTTACAGGACTGTACTGTGATAGTAGAGGATCCCGATTCTAAAAAAATACATAATTGTACATAATTTAATGGTGTAGAAGCGACAATCATGATGACATTTCTCTAATATCAATGTTTCAAAATTGACTTCAAGACTACTTGATTGTAAAATTAACTACGCATGGCTTAATATAGTCAAAGTGATAATTGACATGACTATTATGTTGGTAAATGGAAAGATAAAAAAAGAAATTAAACTTTGATAAGAGGATTTAATATCAAGAAGGGTAACCTAAATTCCCTACAGCACAATATGCACGTTGTATCATGCTATTCTAGAATGAAGGATTAGAATTATTCACACATATAAAGATGTACACGTGTAAATGATCTAACCGTTCCTGCTGTTACACTATTGTAACAATAGAGGATCATGACTTCAAAAAGGTACACAATTGCACACAATCCAATGGTGCAGGAGCGACAATTGTGATGGCATTTCTCTAATTCAATACTACGGATTGTAAAATTGACTACACATGGCTTAATATAGTCAAAGTTATAATTGACG